TGAGTGGCAGTTGAGCATTGCACGTGATTGATCGGATTTCCCCGCACAGATCGGTCCATTGTTTTCCTGATGGCAAACAAAGCCTCCGTTCCCCACGTTCTCCTTCCACCTTCAAGGTTCCCTTCCCCTTCCTCGCCCTCCGCTTCTCCACCCTCACGGTCCCTACGCCGGTCATCGGTCTTGGTTCTGCTTGCGGCTCTTAGACTATAGACTTCTCAGACGCATAAAAGGCTCTACACATACCGCCCCGGCTCGCTTTCCGACATAGAAACAGCTCGCATTAGACCATCGCTCGCATAGACAGCTTCAAGCAGCTCCAAGGCCGACGCCTATTCAACAACAACACGGACTTAGCATCAGCGAACGAACCCCGAGGAACCAGACCCCGAGGAACTATAGACACGGAGCAACCATGCACCACGCTCTCCTCATCGACGAGATCCTGCGGGAGATTTTCGAGGACTGCGAGAAGGGTGCGCTCAGCGCTGCCGCACGGACGTGCCAAGCGTGGAAGGATCCCGCGCTTGATCAGCTTTGGCGCGTCTTGCCCTCGATATCCCCTGTCCTCGCCCTCCTGCCCCAGCTGAAGTACGAGGGCAAACAATATGTGCGTGCCTCCATATTAGTGTACCCGCTTGTCCAACTGACATCACGGTCTACATCCATCTCAGACCCTAACCCAGCATCCCAACTCCACGGACTTTGCCCGCCTCACCGCCTATGCACATCGTGTCCGCCGGATCTCCATTTACAGCTCCCCCGTCCTCCCACCCGCCCTACACGCCGTATTCGACTCTCTCTTCCCAGGCATCTCCGGTCTTCGCCTCACCGGCGGTGCTGGCGACGTCGACCTCACCCGCTTTGCTGGCCGAACACTGCGCACTCTCGAACTCGACACCTCGCGCAGCCCCGCCCTACACGGCGCCCTCGCGCGCCTACCTACCCTCTGCCCAGCGCTCGCCGCTCTCCGCGTGCGCGGGCCTGTGAGCGAGGAGAGCGACACCTCTTTACGCTTGCAATCCGACCTGCGCGCGTTGTCGCTCAAGCTCGGCGCGAGTTTGCGCCCGGCGGCGGTGACGGCACTCGTGCGGCTGCCCCGCCTAGAAACGCTCGAGCTGCATGCGGAGCGCTTGAATGCGGATGCGCTGCCGTTGCCTGCGCCGGGCTTGCTTCCCGCGCTCCGCTGGTTGCGCCTGCGCGCGCATGCAGCGACGCTCGTTGCATTCCTCGCACTCGTCCCGCGCGACACACTCACGGATCTGCTCCTCGATATTGAGGACACCTCGCTACCGGCGTCCACGGCCAAGCATGTCTGCGCGGCCATCGCACATGCGGGTCAGCGCAGCCTACACAGCGTCACTCTCGAATGGCACCACGACGGGGAGGGCGAGCTGAATGCACATGCGCTGAGGCCGTTGGCGGCCCTCGAGAGCCTGAAGCACCTGGTCTTGGATACGCGGTGTGTGCCAGACCTGGCGGACGAGGAGGTTAGGCGACTGGTGAAGGGGTGGCCGGGGCTGGAGTGGCTCGAGCTGGGGTCGGCGCCCGTGGCAGAGAGGGAGGAGCGTGTGAAGTGGGGGTGCAAGGGGACGGTGGGCGTGTTGGGTGTATTGGCGCGGGCGTGCCCGCGTTTGAATGTGTTGATGGTGCCGGTAGATGCGGGGAAGGAGGTGGAGGTGGACGCTGGGAAGAGCGTTGACGCGGGCCAGGGACTTGAGGAGATGGAGGGAGGCGTAAGAGCCCTGGAACGCCTGACCCTTCTCTCGCCCACGGTCTTCAACTCCGCAGTCATGGCGGAGAGGCTGCAGGCACTGTTCCCGCTGCTGAAGGGCGTGGATGGCATGCCAGAGCATGAGGAATTGTGGGTTGGGGTGAGAGATGCGATGCACCTCAGTTGTGCGTAGGCTGGAGGAGGATGGGTGCATGTGTAGCAAACACACAGCTGCAGCTGTAGCTTAGAGCGATACCCTACTACTCTTCGTAATCATAGACCTTCTGCTGGATGTAACCTATTTATCCATTGACATACATTGTTCTCTGATCGACATCACACCATGAGCAGTTCATCGTACAGACATACGCATATCGCATAGCAGGCTACATGGATAAGTACTAAGCTACACTAGGATGCATCCTAAACCGCGGGGGGCTTGGTGCCCGGCTGGAAGGTGTACGTGAGGCCGCACTTGCCGCAGTACTGGCGGTCCTGGTGGAAGGCCATGAAGATACCCGCGCCGCACTCGGCGGAGGGGCACTCGCGACGGAGGCGCTTGATCTTGCCGTCCGAGTCGACCTTATAGTACTTGAGGATCGCCATCTTGACCTTCTTGCGCTTGTGCTTGATCTTCTTGGGCGTCTGGGGAGAGGTGAGTATGGGTGATATTGGGGAAGGGAAAGCGGAGGGAACTAACGTTGTAGGTCTTCTTTTTGCGCTTCTTGGCACCGCCGCGAAGACGCAGGACGAGGTGGAGGGTGCTCTCCTTCTGGATGTTGTAATCCGAGAGGGTGCGTCCGTCCTCAAGCTGCTTGCCGGCGAAGATCAGGCGCTGCTGGTCGGGCGGGATGCTATCGCGTTGCATCAGCATTCGATCTCCGGCCTAGAGCAACCGCTACTCACCCCTCCTTGTCCTGGATCTTGGCCTTGACATTGTCGATCGTGTCCGAGGACTCGACCTCGAGGGTGATCGTCTTACCCGTGAGGCTGATGGGCTGTCAGTGGGTGGGGGACGCTACTACAGACGACGAGCGTACGTTTTTACGAAGATCTGCATGTTGCAGACGCCTGAGTCTGTTCAACGACGTGAACGATGAAGTCCTCGACCAAGGCAGTTCTGATCACAAAGCAATTTCTCGCCGCTTGCTTTTGTGTGGTGATCACGTGGATGGGCGAGTTAGAGTTCAGGATCGCGTGCCAATTCGAGCTCCGATCCGAATTTGGGGCGTCGGCGCGTCGCGTCAAGACGCGTCTTGCTACTTTCGACGCGTTGTCCTCGTTGGGGTTTCACATAAAGCTGTTGATATTATGGAAGTAGACCCGATACCGAGCGCGGCGAAGGGAAAGGGAAAGGCGACGGAAAATCCATATGACGATGACAATCTCCCTTGGTATGCAGAGCTTTGAAGGTCGGCGCGCGACGCGTCCTGACGCGCTTGCAGGGTAGAGAAGTACCGACCCGTCACGCTTGACGATGTCGTCTCGCACAAGGACATAACTACCACAAGTGCGTTGTGCACAGAGTCATTAGAAGCTTGTCCTAACGTCGGGCTGCAGTCGACAAGTTCATCGAGAAGAATAGATTGCCACATCTCCTCTTCTACGGCCCTCCAGGTACAGGGAAGACATCTACCATTCTCGCAGTCGCTCGAAGAATATATGGGCCCGAATTTAGGAAACAGGTCCTGGAGGTACGCTTACCCTCTTCGCATTGAGGCTCGTTTAACGCACCTCCCTATGCAGCTGAACGCGTCTGACGACCGCGGCATTGACGTCGTGCGCGAACAGATCAAGCAGTTCGCAGAGACGCGCACCCTATTTGCGAAGGGATTCAAGGTCAGAGTCTTTGCGCGCAGAACCTCACCCGGCGCTTACCATGTGCCTCGTCGTCCTCTCCTCGTGCCATCCTCACGTACCTTCCCCCTCTTCTCCCATCCTCACTCTTCTGCACGTTCAAACTCACGCACACCCAGCTCGTCATCCTTGATGAAGCCGACATGATGACCCAAGCCGCGCAGGCCGCCCTCCGCCGCGTCATCGAGCAGTACACACGCAACGTGCGCTTCTGCATCATCTGCAACTACGTTGGCAAGATCGCGCCTGCGATTCAGAGTCGCTGCACTCGCTTCAGGTTCTCACCGCTGCCGCTGGCGGAGGTCGAGCGAAGGGTGGACATGGTAATTGACGCGGAGGGGTAAGTGTCTCTACTTGCATCCGCATCGCTACCCCCTGCTTCCATGTATCTCTCTATCCTTCTTTCCTCGACCCCCTAACCCCTCCACCCAGTGTCTCCATCAACCCCGAGGGCAAGGCCGCGCTCCTGCGCCTCGCCCGCGGTGACATGCGCCGCGTGCTCAACGTTCTGCAAGCGTGCCACGCAGCGTACGACACAACGACGGACACGGAGGTATACGCGTGCACGGGCGCACCGCATCCTGCGGACGTGGAGACCATTGTGAACGCGATGCTGGGGGACGAGTTTACGACGGCGTATGAGAGTGAGTATGGAGTGTGCTTGCTTTCGGAGTTGTGGGCTTTCGGCATTGCGATTGCTTTCATGGTTGTCATCGCTTTCGTGCTCGCAGATTTCGAGCGAACACAGCTGACGCCTCACTCCTTCCAGTGATCAACAAGATGAAGATTGAGCGTGGGCTGGCGTTGCAAGACTTAATCGCAGGCGCATTCGACTACATAGACACCATTGAGCTGAAGCCGCACGCGAGGGTATACCTGCTAGATTATCTGGCGACGACAGAGTGAGTTACTTTCCCTTTTTGTGAGCTGAGTTTCTGTGTTCTTATCTGCTGAGCTGCTGACGGCTGAGCTACTGTGGGTTGATCTCCGCCGACCAAGCTCTTTCCTTTCCGCGACATGGTGGCTCGCTTCCTCACCCTTAAACAACGCTGCTCCTGCCTGACACCGTGCTAATAACACCCCACCAGGCATCGCCTATCCACCGGAGGCAGCGAGAAGATTCAGATGACGGCGCTGTTAGGCGCGTTCAAGAACGCCGTCGAGCTGTCGACACGGTGACACTCGGATAGGTGATGCTCGTAGGTGACATTTGAATTTTTTGGACAGAACAATGGGGCCCAGCAATTAGTTAGTTTGAGTCGAGCCTGAGCTGATCGGGCCATAAGTGCATGTCTGCGAGTGACCTGAGTGGAAGTCAAGTCGCCCACGTTTGTACCACCGGCTGGTCTGAAGACTTCAAAAAATGGTTGACATTGCTGACAATGGCAGACGCTGAAGACTACGAGTCAGTCGCAGGAGATGGCGAGTCAGCGTCTGCATGGCTCAGTTGGTTAGAGCGCCGGTCTCATACTTCATGTATGCGGGTCTACCCGACCTTAATCCGGAGATCGCCAGTTCGATCCTGGCTGCGGACATAGCGTTGCAGTTTGTTTATTTTTTGCAAGTCGTTGTATCCAACGTTGCACGTTCAGCGTTGAACGTAACATTCACCGACACCGGTCAACATTCACGCACACGGGCCAACAAGTACATAATGTGTGTATGTTTCTGGTCGGCTTCATGGTAGTACAAGACCTCCCAAACGATGCATCGGATTCCAGTGTTTGTCACTAGCCGTGTTCGTTTTGCTCTGTACTAACATCACTATAGGTTCACAGATATGCTGCAGATTCGTGTTCGATCCAGCCACGGCTGCGGCGAGAGTAACGAACAAAGATCGGTCTCACGAAAGAGGATCACAGTGGTATGTGACTAACTGCCAGCATCTTGTGACGAGTATCGGAACAGCGTCAGCATCATGGAACAGGCCGCCAGTGCAGACAGCAAGACGCAGGCTATACGTTGTAGATATACCACTTGCCGTTTCTTGCGCGCGGAACGTGTAGCTTGAGCAGCTTCGGCGCTAGCCTGGACACAGTTAGCGAAAATATTCTCACCTTAAGCGGGAAGATGCACCTTCCATTAGTCCAAGAGAAAGTTCCCAGCCTGTCGCTCTTGCGGATCAACAAGAAGGGGCCTCGTCGTGATTCTAGCAAATATCACAGCTCTCTTTGCCCCCAGGTCCGGGTGCTGCCGTACGTTGCGAGATGTGACGTCGGAGTCACTCGAGGGCCTTTCCGATGGACATATCATGGCTCAAAGGCGTGAACTGACAACAAATATGTCACTCAATTTCAGGTGCAGGCAGGGCTAGCTTACCTTGTCGTTAAAGGACTCGTAAAAAGTGATGATGCCCCGGCATTCGTCGGGGCTCAGAGTCCTGGTCCCAGTTTCTGCCTCCATGACCAGAAGCAGGACGGCATCCAGCTCGACATAGGCAAGCAGCAGATCTTTCATCAGCTCTTTGAGCTCTGATCCCAGAGGAGATGAATTTTTGATGATTGCCCGCCGACCATGTTTGGGGTCACGACCTGAGAATACAGCCTCATAAGCGACCATCGCGATGAAAGATAGGTCAGAACATACTGTCTACGTGTTCGCCGAGAGCTGCGCAGGCAATCACAAAAACAGCGGCGATACATGCCGCCGACAATGCGCTGAGGGCACCGGTTGCACGAAGGATCTGCATCGCAGCGTGGGTCACGGCCGTCAGGCAGCCATGGACAGGATCGACGCGGCGCCATAGCTCCGATGCGAGCCAGCTTCTCCAGCTGTCGCGGGCCACGATATCCTGGCAAATTTTCAGCGACAGTAACGCAAACGGCATTGATTGTACGTACGCCGGCGAGCCGCGCCACGGCATCCATCAAGAATAAATTGTGGGCGCACAGGTAGTCCGCTGTGGTTCTCAATCGGCGGACATCGAGTTTCGAGCCTACAGAGATAGAGTTAGACCATGCGTGTGCCACAAAGGTAATGACAACGTGCCCTCTGACATGTCTGTAAACGAGATCTGGTTGGAGCCTTGCGCGATTGTTTTGCCTCTCCTAGAACGACATAACCTTGAAAAGGACGATGCTCAACCTGTGCTCTCATAATCTTGGTCAGAAGGGCATACCGGTACCGTCGAAACGCTGCAGCGTGTCTCGAAGACGACTGGTAGGCAACAGTCGCTGAAGCATCCTGACCAAGCGCTCGGTTTCGACGAGCACTCCCAATACCTCCTGGTATTCCTCAATGTTTTTTGACAGACTGTCGGGAACTATCAGCGTATGTCAAGCTGTATCAACGGACGGAAGACATACTGATTCAATGAACGGAAACGGTATGCATCGACGAGGACGCGCGAAAGAGCTCCAGTGAGCAGGGCTAAAGAGCAGTTGACATTGAACTTGGAAGAAACGCCGGCATCCTCGTACAACAAATCATCCACGCGCAGGGCGGACCACGAAAGCACGTGTCCATGTGGCATATGCGCTAGAGCGGGGGAGAAGAATTGGCACACGCTTGCAAGGGTTATTTCGACATTCCTGGGAGCTTGCGCAACACCTGGGTCTGTAATGAGAGAAGCAGCACCAACCGCCGATGTAGGACTGTGGTTGTCGATTTGGTGATCCTGGGAAAGGCGTCCGAGGGCGGCCTCTGTTGTACATATCCCACTGCGCTGGCGTAAAGACGTCTGACTCTCTGTTTCCGACTTCTCTGACCGCGAGACGAGCGTAAAGAGAACGCTGTCGGTACATTGAGCGAAAGACATGGCTGCGAGAGATGAGATGACTTCACAGCATCGGCGCCTATATGTATGCACTTCACGTGCATGCCTGCACGCAGGCCCAAGGCCGCTTTCCAGGCGCTCAATGGCCAACATTGTGTATCCCCGGTAGTTACACGCGAGGAATCTATGAAGGCTTCGCGGTCAGAAAGTTCATATTATGATAGGCCTGCGCAGAAGTGTAAATAGTACATATTGCGCACCTTTCTCGCAGCATGAGCAATGCATGCGTAGTCGATGGCCCGTCGAGGAAGCCAAGCAAAAGGCTCATCAAGCACTGCGCACTTACTCGCCTTCGCAGACCGTCGCAGAGCGCACTGAGTCTTGAGACCTCATGCGGACTCAACAACAAGATGTAGCCAACGGGCAAGCTCATTGAATCCCCGCGAGTCCATGCTCAGGCCCAGCTCGAAGACATCTGCTCCTAATGCGCATGCGCTCGTCCTCCCAAGCAAGATACATTACACATCAAGATACGAGCGCCCACGTACCTACACCGCATCCTCCATCCCATACAGCTGAAAGTTACGATTATACGTCCCCGACGCAATCATGCTCCCGTCGCTATTGATATCGCACGACATCACCTTCCCTGCGTCCGTCGACAGAGTGCGTAGCAGCTGCCAGTCGTCCGCGCTCCACAACTTCACAAGCCCGTCGTACCCCGCGCTCGCGAAGAACAGTCCCGAGCGGTACTTCCACTCCTCCCAGCTGTACGCGCTGGTGTCCGGCCGGTCGGTGGACTTGTCGGCGGTGGCATCGGCAGTGGCGTCCTTCGAAGCGTCTTTTGCGTCTTTCGCGCCATTGGCGTCGTCTTTGGCATCGCTATTGGGAGGGTTGCCGCCGCTCTCGTCCTTCATGTCGACGTCGGCGTCCTGCATGGGCACGTCGGCCTCGGATGGGGGAACGAAGAAGCGGTCGTTGGCGCGGAAGAAGCGGACTTCGGACACGTTCGATAGATGCGCTGGAATGGTGTACAGTGCTTTCAGAGAGCGCATGTCCCATATCCGAATGGTGTCGTCGCCAGCGCCGGTCGCGATTTGGTAACTGTTGAAAACATCAGTGAATGGGGGTAAGGTAGCATGTATAAGTACACCACTCACCCGTTCGGCGAAAATGACATGGAGTAAATAGGCTGGACATGGCCGTCAAGCACCATCGCCGTGCGGCCTGTACGCATATCCCATACGCGCCCAATAGCGTCGAGACCGCTGGGAGGCACTCATGTAGTCAACAAATATTAAAAAATAAAGCAGAGACGCACCCCGACGCTATCAGTGCACCGTCATCTTGAAACTCCACTGCAAAGGCCTCCTTCGCGTGACCCTCCTGCAGCAGCAATTCCTTCTGCGTTCCCACGTCCCATAACCGCCATGTTGTGTCAAAACTGGCGCTCGCAACATAGTCGCCCGAGGGATGGAATGCGACGCGGCACACGCGCCCCTGATGTCCTTGCAAGACCGCGAGCGGCTGGTCGCCGTTCAGCGACCATAAATTCACGCAGTGATCTCCAGCGCCACTGGCAAGGTTGACCAGATCCGGCCCGAGGGAAAGGGTAGCATCGGGGTGCCAGGCAACACCGCCGACGCGGTCGCTGTGCCCGCGCATTGTCCGGATGGGCGTGCAGGAGGGAACACGCCAGAGTCGCACACATCCCGACCAGCTCCCCGTTGCGAGCAGCTCGTTGTTTGGGGAGAAGCGGATCTGCGCCAGCGGCCGCTCGTCGCCGATCTGCGAGCCCAGATTTGCGAATCGCTTGAAGGAAGGAGAGTCAGCGCCGGATAAGAGCGACAAGAGCAGTATGTCCGCGCGCCGCGCACCTTGACATTTCCGAACACCTTCTTCCGTATATCGACGAGCCGCTTGAGCTCGATCTTCGTTTCCAGGCGCTGCTGGGCGACGCGCTTCTGAGCTCTGGCACGACGAGGGAGAGGAATGGCCGTAAGCACCTTGTGTGTGTGCGCGGGCGAGATTCCCACCTGGGGAGAGAGAACTCAGCGATGCGCCGCCGTGCTTCCAATAGCTCCAACGAGCCGGGGGAGTAGAACTCTTCTTCCTGTCGCGTATGCGTCAGGCGGACATTGGTTGCAGTAAATCATGAGCACGCACCTCATCTTCGCTCTCTGACTCCGATTCGACTTCCATAGCCATACCCTCGTCCCCCCTTGCAGCATTTATTTGCGATAGCACATATATGAGACGGTCTCTCCTGTCTGCCGCCTGCGCTCGCATCAGTGCTGCAGCCGCTTACCGAACCTCTGCCAACTCACGCGTTCACCAAACAGTGTTATCGGTTCCCCAATTTCGCGTAACCTTAGCTTGACACGCGTATCGTCGGTGGGGACGGCCATAGCGCGCGCCTTTTTCTTGCGCTCGAGCTCGTCGAGGAGGGCCTGGTTCTCTGCGCGCGCGCGCTCGGATCCCAGGTAGTTGCCATCGTCCATTAAGGTGTCATACGTGAGATCCATGATGGGCAAGGCGCGCGTCGGCGTCGTATGTGGGAGTCAGAGAACAATGGAGTGACCGCGTTCGTCAAGTTCGTCCGCCCGGTCCGATCGCGAAGGAGCAAACAATTCCAAATGTTTGTTCGTTTTCGAGCCACGCTCTGTATCATACTTAGGTCTACATCATGCTACTCCCGCCGTCTATTCTGCAAATAACTTGAAGGACTATCTCTATAAGTATGGAGGAGTAACCCTGTTCCCTTGTGTCATGAACTTCAAAGACCTTGACACTGAGTTCTAACAACAGCGCCCTGAGGCG